TGGAAGCCGTATTTATTGAAATTAAGGAATGAGACTTGTTCTAAATTAAAGCTCAAAGCTTTCTCTTTAAAATGATGTATAATAATTGTTGGGTTGGATTGGAAAAATATTGAGAAAAAAAAGGTTGCAATAAAACTTATATTTTCGTATAAACTTAGTAGAAAGTACCGATAGTTCTAAATGCGCTGAATAGATGACTACAGTTTAAAATGAGTGTTTAAAACTACCGGTACTTTAAAGTACCGCCGGGATACAAAGGGTTAAAAAATTAATGAATGGATTCAATTTCAATAGTCATGGACAAAGTATAGTATTCTACTCGCATATAATGAGCTATTATTCACTCAGGTTAAGGAAGAAACTTAACCTTCGTGAATAATAGTCCTCATTATATGCTCATATAATAATATACTATTACAGGTCGCAAGGGTTTAAGTAAGATTTATTTAAACAGTGTTTCAACGCTTACAAGACTTTTCGATTTGAGTGGCTATTTGAATTGACGACATTACTTTCTAGCGGTTTGTGAATTTTAATTTACTATGGCATTTGTAAGAGCGAAAAACGATGAGTCACTGCCACCTCTCCTGGTCTCCACTATATCAAATTCATCAAATTTTTTAATTCTAAATTTTTTTTTTAACAGAATAATTTAACAATAGCTAAAACTGGTGAAAAATCAATTATCCCCGATTTATGTTCATCACATACGTTACAACTTCAAGCAATGGGTACAACCCATCAAAAATTATGTGATATTACGCGAAGGGTGATTAAAGCAAAAGAAGAATTAATTAAAAATTTATTTATGAGACTCAAATGGGTGATGTACGTTGAAAATAAAATCTTAGAAACGAGTCAAAAATTATTTGTTTGCCACGAAAATTTAAAACGTTTATGTCGGCAATTAGATATGTTACATCAAATACATAACGCCCCAACTTTATACTTAAACGGAATTTCAGAAGTTGTACGTAGAAAAGCGTTCTCTAAAGCATTTTTATTGTGGGCTTCTGATTTGGCGTGCCGAATGATGACCATTCATAACGACGAAAAAGCGCGAAGAAAAGATTTTGCTGCTGCAGCTGAAGGGCATTTTTTGGCAACTTTATTCCCAGATTCTAATGATACTATTCCTGCTTTCGCGGTAGAACCACCTTCTGTATTTGATTCTAATTTACCAGCTGTATCTGAAGAAGATGTGCAAGCTTTCAAAGATAGTCTTCCTGAAGCTTTAAGAAACGAATTTAAACTGTATGATTTATCAACAGTCATGGAATTTTTTATTATTAAAGAAGGTAAAAATGATTTCGTTCAAACCGGAAGTCAAACTATGGATGTTGTTGAACAAACCGATTTTACCGGGAATGTTGAAGGTGTTCCGAAAAATCTTGATGTCGCTGTAATACCGTTATTAAAAGACTTAGATAGGTACGTTGAAAAATAATGTAAAAATGTTTTTGTTGATTCATTTTTTTAGAGGCTGTGAATCTGAAACGGATACCGAAGAGTTTGAAAAAGTTTGTCAAAGCCCTTTGGAATTACAATTTGATCGCGAAGTTCAATCTGTCCCAAGAACCCAGGATATTGGAACATTAACCGAGGTTGGTGAACGAAGTCAAGCGCCACCTAAAAAACCCCCTCGAACAATTCAAAAGCACCCTTTAATCATCCAACAAGTTGTTTCCTTTGACCATTCCTCTTCCAGTGTTCATAACTTTCAAAGAGCACTAAGTTATAGCGGTAGTAACACCACAACCGATAGTTTTACTAACCTAAAAAATCCGTCTTTAGAATCGATCGATGAATTATCTAGTTTAAAAAATTTTTCATCAAACATTGAAAGTTGCTATAATTCTCATCATCATCTTCAGCATAATTTACATTCATCAAATGGGGGTCTTCTTCGTTCGAAATCCTTGAGTCCTCACACTCCTTTAAGTCCAAAAGAAGTCGCGCATCTTGGAGATCATATGTTATTAAGTTCTCCTATTCAATGCCACCAACAGACCATCGAATTTGCTACTGACGAATTTTATATCGATGAGAGCCTTCCGTCGAGTTTGAGTTTGGAGATGGGGCACAACGTCGTCGCCATGCTCCAGGTAAAAAAAAATATTAAACATAACAAATTCCATTAAAAGATAAATATTTAAATAAATAAATAATTAAATAATATACAAAACGCTTGACGTTGTGCACCATTCTCTTTTTGAATGTTCTTATTTATTTTTAGTTTATTGTTAAACCTGGAATGTTTCTTCTTCAATGGTAGCTTTTTAATTTCAGTTAAATTTTTTTTTAATTAGTTGCTCTCCAAGGATTTTTTTTTAGAAGATAGATTAAGGTAGAAAATAAAGGTATGTTGGTGGCTTGATGTACAAAGAAATCCTTTTCCATATTCCTTATTTGCGCTTGGTTTTAGTTTAAGTCTTAATGCATGGCGTAGAAAATACTTAAAAAATATGTACAGTAAAACCTTGATATAAAGAACCTCGTTATAGCCCAAAAACGCACGCTAGAAGCCGTATGTTCTTGTTTTACACTAACACTGTCACTAGAATTAACACTATACCAGGAACTAGAAACATTCGGGTTTAACCCAAATGAATGATTCTAGTTCCAGGTATAGTGTTAGTTCTAGTGACAGTGTTAGTGTAAAAATAGAATTAACATTAGACCTAGGTTAGAAACATTCGGGTTTAGCCACACGTCTCTTCTAGTTCAAAACTAGAATTAACACTAGACCAAGAACTAGGAACATTCAAGGCTAATATTTTTTATTCTCTTTTATGTTTTTTTGAGATAAATGCATCCTGTTTGGATACATTTTAAAGGTTTTTTAATAAAGAATACAGCATGAAAGAACACCATGAAGTTGTCCATTTGTCTATTATATGATAACTAACTTCAGGTGTAAAATGTCAACCTCAATTTTGACATATTTGTAATCTTCATTAAAAATCCTTAAAAGTAAGTACAAACACGACATATTAATCTTCAATATTACTGACGTTATGGCCGACTTCCGGTTAGAAATGTCAACCTTAGTTTTGACATATTTGTAATCGTCGTGAAAAATCCTTTAAAATGAGCTCAAATACGATAGGTTTAATTCCAATATTACTTTGAGATATAAGCGACTTCCGGTTTGAAATGTCAATGTCATTTTGATATATTCTTAATTTTTATAAAATGTCTTAAAATTTGTTACCAAAAAATATGATAAAAAAAATCAGAAATTTAGGTTGGTATTAATATTTAAAAATTAAATTGCTATTTTCATTGTTGCTAACTTCTCTTTATTGTTTTTTGAGATAATTGCATCATGTTTGGACACATTTTAAAGGTTTTTTAATAAAGAATACATCATGAAAGAACACCATGAAGTTGTCCATTTGTCTATTATATGATAACTAACTTCAGGTTTAAAATGTCAACCTCAATTTTGACATATTTGTAATCTTCATTAAAAATCCTTAAAAGTAAGTACAAACACGACATATTAATCTTCAATATTACTGAAGTTATGGTCAACTTCCGGTTATAAATGTCAACCTTAGTTTTGACATATTATTTGTAATCGTCGTGAAAAATCCTTTAAAATGAGCCCAAATATGATACGTTTAATTTTAATATTATTTTGAGATATAAGCGATTTCCGGTTTGAAATGTCAATGTCAGTTTGATATATTCTTAATTTTTATAAAACGTCTTAAAATTTGTTACCAAAAAATATGATAAAAAAAATCAGAAATTTAGGTTGGTATTAATATTTAAAAATTAAATTGCTATTTTCATTGTTGCTAACTTCGGGTTTAATGTTGTTATTCTCTTTATTGTTTTTTGAGATAATTGCATCAGTTTGGACACATTTTAAAGGTTTTTTAATAAAAAATACATCATGAAAGAACACCATGAGGCTGTTCATTTGTCTATTATATGATAAGTTTCTTCAGGTGTAAAATGTCAACCTCAATTTTGACATATTTGTAATCTTCATTAAAAATCTTTTAAAGTGAGTACAAACACGACATATTAATCTTCAATATTACTTCCGGTTTACTTCCAATTTACGTTTAATTCCAAAATTACTCGAGATATAAGCGATTTCCGGTTTGAAATGTCAATGTCATTTTGATATGTTCTTAATTTTTATAAAATATCTTAAAATTTGTCACAAAAACAAAAATATAAAAAGAAATCAGAAATTAAGGTGGAAAATAATTAAAAATTAAATTGCTATCTTCATTGTTGCTAGCTTCGGGTTGGGTTGGGTTGGGTTGTTTTTTATTCTAACTTTTTTGTTGTTTGAGATAAGTGCGTCATGTTTGGACTCATTTTAAAGGTTATTTTATAAAGATTACGAATATAATAATAAAATTAAAATTGACATTAATACCTGAAAGTTTTTTTTAGCCGTGCTTCGAACAAAAAATATGATAAAAAAAATCAGAAATTTAGGTTGGTATTAATATTTAAAAATTAAATTGCTATCTTCATTGTTGCTAACTTCTGGTTTAATGTTGTTATTCTCTTTATTGTTTTTTGAGATAATTGCATCAGTTTGGACACATTTTAAAGGTTTTTTAATAAAAAATACATCATGAAAGAACACCATGAGGCTGTTCATTTGTCTATTATATGATAAGTTTCTTCAGGTGTAAAATGTCAACCTCAATTTTGACATATTTGTAATCTTTATTAAAAATCTTTTAAAGTGAGTACAAACACGACATATTAATCTTCAATATTACTGAAGTTATGGTCAACTTCCCGTTAGAAATGTCAACCTTAATTTTGATATATTTGTAATCGTCGTGAAAATTTCTTTAAAATGAGCCCAAAGATACGTTTAATTCGAGATATAAGCGATTTCCGGTTTGAAATGTCAATGTCATTTTGATATGTTCTTAATTTTTATAAAATATCTTAAAATTTGTCACAAAAACAAAAATATAATAAAAAAAAATCAGAAATTAAGGTGGAAAATAATTAAAAATTAAATTGCTATCTTCATTGTTGCTAACTTCGGGTTGGGTTGGGTTGGGTTGTTTTTTATTCTAACTTTTTTGTTGTTTGAGATAAGTGCGTCATGTTTGGACTCATTTTAAAGGTTATTTTATAAAGATTACGAATATAATAATAAAATTAAAGTTGACATTAATACCTGAAAGTTTTTTTCTTAGCCGTGCGTCGAAACACTTTCAAAAAACATCAAAATTATTTTTAGTCGTACAGCTAAACACGAATTTTTCTAGTTCTAGGTTTAGTGATAGTTCTAGTTTTAACTGTTATTCAACACTGACGTCACGAACGGACCTTTGAGCTGTCACTTCTTCCCCTGATGTAGAATTCTTCTTAAATTCTACCGTTCTTGGTATAAGTACAAAGCCACGTAGATTGAACGCAATGGTGTGAGTAGCTGTCCAACTTTTGGATATAACGGACACTCCCTTTCCCGTATTAATCTTGTTATATACCAAGGTTTTGCTGTACTTAAAATAAAATTAATTAAATTTTTTTAATTTGAAGAATCTACAAAAAAAAAACAATTCGTTTCTAAATCTGATTAAAATACTTTTCATGTAGTTTTATAATTACTTTCAAAAAGAATACATTTTTAATTATCTTTTTAATCAATAGGATAATCTTCAATCATCAAGAATAGAATATGATAGAGTAAAAGGTTCATTAACACAACTTTCTTCGTTTACCCAACAAGCTTTAGTAAATTTAAGACGTGAATTGAGCGATTTAAAAGAATATTTTATAACGGAACAAGAAGTTCTAGCGAAACATTGCGGCGATTTAACCGAATCTTGGGAACAAGTTTCTTCGGGGAACGAAGTTAAAGATAAACAAATGGCAATATTAATATCAGAAAATGATGAGTTATTAAAAAATTTTAAAAGAGAACTAGACTCGAAGAACGAAGAATTAAAACAATTACGGATAGAAAACGAGGTGCTCGATCGTAAAAATAAAGATTTTTTTATGGATAATTGTTACTTAAAATCGGAGGTCGATAATCTTAAAACTCAAAGTAGCGTAAAAATTGAAAATTTAACACGTACTTTAGCCGATAAAGACGTTGAAAAAGAACGATCTTTACAATTATTAAGGGAGGAGAATAAAGCGGAAATTGAGACTTTAAGATCTCGTTTTAAATTGATGACTGAATCAACTTCAAGTGATACGAATTTGGAACGAGTTTGGAATGCCGAAATGGAATCGAGGATGGAACAACAAATTCGTTTGGCCGTTTTAAATGAACGAGGAAAATGGGAAAAGATTATCGCAAATCTTAACGCAACCAATGAAAATTTAATTCGCGAAAATCAAACGTTATTAAACGATCAAGAAGAAAAGGATAATCTTATAAAACATTTAAAAGAGGAAATCGAACAATTTCATAGAAATCAAAAAGAAACGGAAGTTATGGAGTTTAAAGATGATTTAAGTGCTTCTGTAATGACCGGAATTTCTGAAGCTAGTAAATCTGAACCGATGGATGTTTCTAAAGTAAAAGACACTTTAACGATGAGTCAAAAATCATTGATAGCAACCAAAAAATTAAATGTAACCAAGTGCAATATTGGTGATTTAGTTTTAGTTTTATGGGATTCAAAACATGATAATTATAAAATATTGCAAGAAAGTAGCACTATGTATTTTCTTCATTCAGATAGTTTAGTTCCTTTAGGTTTAAAACGAGGAGAAAAGGGTAAATTATATACGTGGGGGCAAGTTACACATAAAGATTATTGTCATGCAAGAAAAGTAATTTAAAGAAAAAATTATTTTTTTTTAATTATTAAATGATTATTTTTTAGGCCCAAAATAGATATAATGTCCAAGTAGGTACGAAATTTTATCGTGTTAAAGTAAATCCAGTTATTATAATGGAAACTATAGAAAAAATGGAAGAATTAAGAGAATCACCGATTTTAGACACTAACACTTTATTAACAGTACCGGAAAGGAATCTTAATCCGGATGGAGCAACGACGTCTTCAACGAGATCATCAAGTACGATGACTTGTTCGTTTTCAATACATTCACCGGAGCCGTTACAAATGGATACATCAACTAGTAGCAGTAGCAACCGGTAGGTTTCAATAAAATGTTAAACCGCTTCTTTAAATTTTTCAATAGAGGCGTTTATTGAATTTTTTGTACCATGCAATTATATTTAAAAAGATAATAATGGCGAAAGCGCTTTAAAAGTTGCTTTAGTCAAATAGATACTTTAAATAATTTTTTTTTGTCAAGATAAAAAATTAAAAGAAGAAGAAAAACTTATATCTATAGTATTATTAAATGTTTCTTTATTGTGATAATTAAAATATATCTTTTTCTTTATTATATTATATAGTTTGATTACTATTTTCTTTTTTTTGAGTTTATTTTGATTTTTATTTAGTTGGATTGAATTTACTAAAAATATAAACCAAATTCAATTCACCAATCAAACTATTCATAAATAATGATTGTACAGAGCGTCTTATTTTTAATAACTCTTCATTGATTTTTAAGGCCTAATATTGTGATTAAAAAGAAAAATTAATGTGCCATAAATAATTTTGTGGAAAACAAAAATTAGAATAATTTAATTAAAAATAAACGATTTTTGGAGGGATATAAAAAGTGAGATATCTGTACTAAAAGTGTTTATTTTTTTGAAGTAAATAAAACTGGTTTTGATTGAATTTTAAATCTATTTGCTAAAATCAATTAAAATAAAAATTTTACGTTTTCATTAAAAAAAATAAACACAAAGTTTTTTTTTGTTAACTCAATTAGTACTTTAGTTACCTATTTGTATTGAATATAGTTAAAAAAAATATCTACGTAGAACGAATATATTTGACTGAATCCCGCCTGAAATAAATAAATTGTTTTGATTTGAATATCGAATAAATGTTTATCAAAAATTGTTTCAGCACGCACACATTTACTTATTGTCTGTCCGATCCGTGGCTTGGTGGAAGCGCTTGGTAGAAAATTCGTGATGTGTTTGGTTAAGATGTCCAATAGAAGGTAGATAGGTTCTAATTTAATTAGCTGTTCTCATTTTATTCTTTCAAATTATATTTTAATAAATAAAAAAATTAATAAATTGAACAAAAAAATACATAACTTTGTAGATTTATAAGAAAATATTAAAAAAAAATTAATGTGGGAAACGAATCAGTCAAATATATCGTTCGGACGTTGATGTAGTTTCATTTCCTTTGTGATTTTACCTAGAAAATAATTTAGTGAAATTACTTTTGAAGTCGAAAATCGTTTTATCTTTTTTTCCTTTCATTTATTCCTTTTCTTTGTAAAGTCAAGAATCGATGATTAAAAAAGGGGTAATGTCAAACATTTTATTAAAGATAAATATCATTTCTTTTTAAGGTGTTTAAAAAAGTTTACAAAACGGAAATTTCATGTAAAAAATTATTTTTAGTATTATTTTAGTCAAACAAAATTAAATACTAAATAAGTATCTACAACCTAATTAAGTGGTCTAAACACTTTTTTGTAATTCGCGACGGTAATGAAAGCTCTAACAGTACTCAAACGGGTGCTGTAATGAGACTCCTTACAGCATCGGATGCTGTAATGAGATTTTAGTAACATTTTATGGAATTAGTTCAAGTTGGTGACATTGGGTCGTTAATTTTTCTAGTTGTCAATGTGACAATTTTTGTCTATGGATGTTTAAACACGTTCTTAGCATCGAATACAAGGTCCACAATGATGAGGACATTGAACACAGCAATTTCTCTTATTTGGGAGGTGTTCATGAAACATTTTTTTTCAGGTAAATACATTTTGTGTTTTGACTGTTTCTAATTGTCAATTAAAATTTCTATTTTCAAGTGTTACGGTGTTGCCAACTGCTATATTTCCCTACATTGTCAAAATTTATTTTATTTTTGTTAAAAAGAAAGGATAAAAACGCGAATTACAAAAAATAGCATAAAAAACACGTTTCATAAGACTTAAAGCACTCATTCATTAAAAAACTCAATTAAAAAATTCAACTTGAATTCGTGCATTTCAAGCGTATCTTACGAAACTTGTTTTTTAATATACTATTATCTCAGTTATAGTCCAATTTAAGTAAATGGAAGTTTAGCCCAACCCTGATATACATAAATTGCTGGGAATTTATCATATCTCTTAAAGCTTGCGGCTTAATATCGTCCTATTTGTCCAACCGTAACCAGTATTTCTAATTTAATTCACAGTTTTCTGACCTCGGTAGTATTAAATATGGCGTGCCACAGGGTTCCTATTTTATTTCTTATTTATATCAACGACCTACCTAATGTACTAGGTGAAGATGATTGTATGCTGATGATACTACATTTATTAGTGGAAGCTCTGTTTTTAATGCGTCTTCAGCGGTACAAAGTAGTGATGGAACGGATAGATATTCGGCATCCCCTTCGGCCGGATATTCGATTATACGGCCTTTATGGTTATAATTTCTGGTGCATTTTTGAAGTGATACCCTATATTGCCACATTATTGCCATATTTGAATAAAAATAATAGTTATTTATATTACAAGTGGGCTAGAAACATATTTACTGTACGACGAATTACTGTAGCCCACGTGTGATATACAGCATATTATCTACGACTGCTAAAAATTACTAAAAAATCAATTTCTCTAAAAAAGTTTATATCATTTATAAAAATATTTTGAAATGGTTGTTAACAATTTTGAATTGTCAGTTTCAACAACATGTTTACTCATCTGGAATAAATGTTTCGAAATGTAAAAACATAACAATTAATGTTTATAATAAATAGTATTGTTTCTCTGTAAGTAGATAACACTTTTTCTTTTGTATTGTTGCTCGTTTCAATAAATTAAGTCTGTTCTGATTAGACTAAAAATGCGTTACGTAATGAAACCAGTGCGGTAATGAACTTCATTACGTAACTCAAATGAGTGCGGTAATGATGACTTATCCAAGCAGTCGTAGATAAAATTAATTACATTATTTGGATCCAAGATACAAAATGTACTTTTTTTTCATGCTGATTTATCTAACGAAGCAAGTCTAAAAAGAGGATACTTTAATTAATAATTGGTGATATTTTCACAAGGATCCTTCAAGAAATTAATTTTATCGAATTTTGAAAGTTATCGATGAAAATTGCAACATCGAAAATTTTATCAAAACTTCAAATATTGTTTTCTCAAAAACTAAAAGTTATTTTTCAAAACGGGTTGGTTCATTGGAAAGAGGACACTTTTGTTAACACTTTGGGAAATTTTCATACCCATATTCCAAGAACTGAATTTTATACGAATTAAAACTTAATCGCCGAAAATTGCAAAATTTGAAAAATATGTTGAAGAAAACTAGACGAAACTACTACAAGAGATTTTATATATCGTATTGGGATTGTTACAATGAGGTTGCTAATGACAAATCTGATATAAATAAAGTTGTATTTAATGAGAAAAGTTTTGTTGGGGTTGAACTTGATTATTATCTCCAATACTCCAATACTTAAAAGAGATACTAATTCCTGTGAATGGTGGAGTACTAAGTAATAGGTTTTTAATATTTGCCATTTGTTAAAATCCGGACGAATACCGGATAGTTGCCGGATATCCGTTCCACTGCAAGGACACTCCAAGGACACTTAACCTGGTCTTCACCTTGCGCCCAAATGACCAGATTGAACCTGTTCCTGATTGCAAATTTCTGGGTTTATATCTGGACTCGGACCTTATATGGGGTTAAGTTAGCCGGTAGACTAAATTCTGCTGCTTTATTGCTGAGACAGCTTTTCATTGCTACAATCTCACAACACTTATGGACTAATAGCCTAGGGCCACTCTAGTATGGCTAAAAATCTTTGGGATACAAAGAAGAGCAATAAGAATAGTTGGAGGTTTGGGATATCGCGACAATTTTAAACTCTTTTAGATTAAGCTTGAAGACTGTTTTATTTTTCCTGATCTGTTTAATGTATATGTTGCAATTTACACACTACAAATCNTGGCTAAGAATCTTTGGGATACAAAGAAGAGCAATAAGAATAGTTGGAGGTTTGGGATATCGCGACAATTTTAAACTCTTCTAGATTAAGCTTGAAGACTGTTTTATTTTTCCTGATCTGTTTAATGTTTATGTTGCAATCTACACACTACAAATCCATAAAATCCATATGGAATTTTCAGTTTAATCTTGTAAGCGGATTTTATTTATATTTTTTTTTTATTTAAACAGAACCGAGTTTTAATAGAATTTTAAATCTATGTTGTCAATTCAATTTATAACAAACCTAAACAAAACACAAAGTAAATTAAGTTTTAGGTTTTAAATAAAACGTTTTTTAGTTAACTCAATTTTATTAACTCAAATCAAATCCAGCAACATGTAATATATAGTATAACTATTTTGAAATTGTGAATTTGTGTGGTCACTCCTTTAGATCATATAAACCATGCATTATCCATTACTAAATAATTAGAGTGAAACCAAAATGTTACTAACTTTGGCCAAAAATTCCCAGCACTTTGTAACTCCACAACAAACATTCTCCGTCTTGTTAGTGACATTTTGCTAAAATTTGGATCTCTTCGATAACCAGATAAATAAAGAGTCGATCGGTGTGTTCAACCTGCTTTGTCTATATCGAATAGTTAGTTTCATCGTTCTAGATATGGTTTTAGAATTTATGACACATACTTTTTGGATGTTTTGTAAACTTTTTGAAACTCTTATATTCGTTCTAATTATGAAATGTATGCTTTAACGGATTTAATTTGGGACAGAAAAACTTTCTTATAAATTAAAAAGATATAGTTATTTAGTATAACGTTAAACCATAAAGAAAAAAAAATAAAAACTGATGTAATAATTACATTGAGCTACAATAAAGTTTATTCTCCATTTTTATTCGATGTATTAATTTAATTAAAAATATGACTCCAAGTTTATAATTTAATTTAAATCATGTATTTTCAAAACCCTCTCCAAAAACTTCTTCCAGCATTACGCAACTCAACTTCATAATTAATTTTTGCACGGAACACTCCGCGTTTACATTCTTCGCGCTTAATGGGCAACTTTAATTAGCACTTAATATTACCAGCAATTTAATCGAAAGGTTCGCGAAAAACTACTTTTCCAGTTTAAAACACTCCAAATTAATTAAAACGAAAATTTTTATATAAAAAGTTTATACAAACATTTCCAAAACAGCTTTTTTTCTTATTTTTCTTTTAATTTACTTTGTTTTCTAGTAACAATTAACGTTCCAATTAAGCTTACCCTAAAACAACACCGTCTTTCAATTTGAATCGATTTAAACTCGTGTTTTTCAACCAAACAGAAAGCGGAAACCTTTCCGATCGGATATCCAATTTTCGATGTTGTTACGCATTGAAGAGTACACAAAACAAGGAAATATGTGGAAATGGTAACTCCTCGCGTCACCGTCATTTACGACTTTATACCTACTCGAATTGAATTACACGGTAGGATGGATTGTATTATTTCCGATTCGACAGTTTTAGTGGTTTTGAAATTTACATTATTTGAACATGCAGGTTGATGTTTGGCGGAAAAATAAGGAAAAATGTATTTCGAGTTTAATTCGGTGCCAATCTTTAAAATTTTTTTGTAAGACGCACTGTTAAAACCGAAACTTTGTAGATGTAGTGTTAGTTTTAGTGACAGTGCTAGGTAAAGTTTCGTAGCACTAGATATTACTATGTTACATATTTTTATTGAACTAAAACTAGAACTAACACTAGACCTAGAATTAGAAAGCTTTAGTTTTGGCTTAGGTTTAGCCGCAAGTCTCTCAAGACGGCTAAACCCGAATGATTCTAGTTCTATTTCTAGTGTTAGTTCCAGTTTTACACTAGCACTGTTACTAGATCTAACACTAGAGCTAGAACTAGAAACATTCGGGTTTAGCCACACGTCTCTCAAGACGGGTAAACCCGAATGATTCTAGTTCTATTTCTAGTGTTAGTTCCAGTTTTACACTAGCACTGTTACTAGATCTAACACTAGAGCTAGAACTAGAAACATTCAGGTTTAGCCGCAAGTCTCTCAAGACGTGCGGCTAAACCTAGAAGAGACCTAGAACTAGAAACATTCGGGTTTAGCCACACGTCTCTCAAGACGGCTAAACCCGAATGATTCTAGTTTTAGGTATAGTGTTAGTTCTAGTAACAATGCTAGTGTAAAACTAGAACTAACACTAGATCCAGAACTAGAAACATTCGGGTTTAGCCACACGTCTCTCAAGACG